TGAATCTTCCTGCCTGAGTTATTGAGACTCGAACATTTCACAGAAAGTAAGGGTGAGGATCAAATATTCGAGTCTCAATAACTCAGGCAGGAAGATTTATTAGCATTGAATATTTTTCCGTCGTACTACTATGACTATGAGCTACAAATGTGGCAAGTTTTAAATCAAAATTCGAAAGGTGGATTTTGCTCGAAATCCAAGCTCTGTAGGCAAAAACTGACTAAAAGTCCAGTATCTCAGCAACAAAGCACCATGGGTACAAACCAACTTAGGGTATTTCACTACTCGCTGAGATCTACAAGATAAAAGTAGTCTGAGTTCAAAAGCGGTTAATAACCTCAAGAGGTTCCCTTGTTAGAAATACGACAATAAAATGCTACTGTCTACATCTTGGAAAAATAATAAGTATCAGGTCTTTAAAAAAGGATCTTGAATGGTCTAAGAGTCATGGTCTTTAAATGGATCTGAAACTGACCATTTTTAGATCATTATATCTTTTGGCTCTGGTGGGCTTGTCTAAGATCCATAAACAGACTCACCAGTACACAAATAAACTGTCCTTGTGCTTGTCGAATACATATATTCCGTGCTTGTGATGGCGGCACTTTATGTTCAGATCGAATATAGATAATATTTTCGGTCAATTCACCCTTTCCATCCTTTCGTTTATCTTCGGTCGCTCTGACGATTTTTCGATCTTTAGTCGCCTCTTTGTTATCACCCTGATCCTGGATATAGAGAATATTTTTCATTGGTAGATTGGTTTCAAAATATTCTTTGGTACCGTCAGTTGAACCGCAGTCATGAACAACATGCTCAAATTTGACTAAAATGAAAAAATGTTCGTGTTGAAGGATAAAATAGAATTCGATAAAGGACATACTTGGCAATGGTGCTAACACATTGACTTGTACACTCATGATAGCCACTTTTAAATATTCCAAACGATTGTGTGACGGTGTGACAACCGAAATAAAGATTGGATGACTGCTCATTTTTAGTAGTTTTATTTCTGATCACAAATTCAGAATTGGAATAGATAAACTGAAGGATCACGTATAACAAACAATCGAACTGTATATGTACTGGTGAGTTTTTCTTCTGAAGAAAGAAAACCGCTTGTCATGGTCTTATATTTTTGATTTATGGAAAAAGTAGGATATGTGTAAAGTTGATTTTTTTTTAATGCATTTTCGAAATATCATTTGGTAGCTACAGCAACTGAAACTTTCCCGAACTCGTCAATAAAACATTTTCTTTTTTGAGAGGAAATGGTCCTAGCGCTAGTAGCTAAAATGTCTATAAAAACTATTATGATTCATAACACTGTAAAACATTAAGTCGTGTGTTAGAAATCTTCTACACTCTAATAAAATGAATCATGATCAGACTGTAACAATGTGTATTATCTCACAAAAAATAACGTTATGTTACCTTTTTTTGTAGTTGTATTGAATGCACTCTGACTACCGATGAGAGAGAGAATGTACTATAGTAAGCTGTGCTGATAATACATTATTTCTTTTATACACTGCAATTGTGTACACGTGATGATTAACGTGACTTTAAATAGAAATATGCGGTCTCGTTCTCATTCACGTGGACGAAAGAACAATACAAACTATTCTTTTCCTTTTCGTAGCTTTAGTGTATAACAGAAAAAGATAAGGCAGACAGCGGGTGGTATATGTGAACATGACAGGGGATGTATATGTAAACAGAACGAAGAAAACAATGGTCACTGGTTGGAATGACTTCTGCGTTCTTTTTATAAAAAGAAGTTAAATTAGATTGTAATCGTGCTAAGCACGAAGCTACGAGATCGACAGACTCCCACTTAACAGGCAAAATTGAGATTCTTGATATGTTAGCCGTAAATAGTGGTAAAAGAGAGAAAACATCCTTTTTTGCAACTCAGTGTCATGCGGCCAAACGTATATATGTTTTACTGGTAAAATTAATCATGTAGAAATTGCAAAAGGTTTTTGCGTAGTGACTAGACTCCGGCATCGGGTTTTTTTCGGGTTTGACTAAATAATGAAAATTAAAATTCGTTTATAAAGAGCAAATCTGTCTAAGGTGTACGTTCGATAGAGAAATGTATCCGCTTTCGAATGTGATATTTTACGTGAAAAAAGGTTTCACTGACGTGCTAACAATCCAAATCTGCGAAAAACCCGATTTTTCGGGTTGACAGGATTTCAAAGCGGTCAACAATATTTGTGCAGCGAGTTTTTTGATCGTTTTTTCAGTTAAAAACCGAAAACACGACGACGTGCGAAAAAATTAGATTTTTCGGCTTGGTTTCGTAGTCGGAACATTCAAACTTGGGTCAAAGTCTCGGTAATTTTTCAATGTGAAAATTCGAAAAAAAATGGAATAGTCGGATAAGATAGAAATATACATCATTCGACTCAGCTTTTTATCATGATTCCGAATATGAAACTTATTCGTTGTGAATATGAACTTATTGTTCAAAAGTTGATTTTTGATCGAGAAAATTTAGAATCACGAGCAGAATTCCAACTTTTTCGTTTAGGTTTAGAAAAAATGACTTTTCTCAGCGGCACAACAAAATTTTAAAAAAGAAAGTTATACTTTTAAAACTGGGCTCACAGCGGATATAATGGAGGAAAACATCTACAAACTAAGACTGATGGCTGTTTTATAACTTAGTACAATTATACTCAGATATTCATTTAAGTTGAAAAAGGTGCTCAGCTTACGAGGAAACATACCCACCTGTTCAATCGATTTTTTAACCAAACCTAGTAGCTATTGGTTATCGACGGCGCTGATTCTGAATATCAACGTGAGACTGGCCGCTAGGCCTTCAAAGACTTTTCAGAAACTCTGAAAAATAACCAAAACCTTTCTTAATGGGGCATGATTGTAGCTCGTAAATTTCTGATTAAAACGATACATCTCCCAGTTCTACACTACCTTTCTTTGCAAAGTTATAGAATTTATGAGAAGTCCTAAATGTTTATTGTCAGCTCAGAGCTAAGACGCACGTAATGCAAACTTAAAGTGAAATAAAAAGTTGACTGCTGATGCTCTCGGAGAGAGCAAAAGCTCGCAAAAGAAAAAATTTCTTACATGTAGCCATCTATATACTCAAGATATCAGATGCAAGGTTATTGAACATTTCTAAAGTAGCCTAGTCCGTATAGTTTTATTCAAAGATTATAAATATGATGTTGGTTTTGATTAAAAGTGGGAAATGAGTGAAAAAATTGATTTTTATGGACATCAGGAACAAAAAGAATAAAAAATCATTTTTTCAAGTAGTGAGGGAAATTCTCAATGTATTTTATAATCTTAGGCAGATTAAGCTCGAAACTTGGAGAATATTATTTCAAAAAAAGCAAAAAAGTTCTTTTATACCGATAAGACGCTTTGTTTTTACGATCACCCGTTAAACTGGATATTTCTTTGAAATTGAAAAAAAAGAAGGTTGTTTTATTTTCATTTCTCTGAAAGAACTATTGTATGCCTCAACCAGAACAATATTATATGTATGCCACCTGTAGTAAACGCAGAAACACTCTGCTGCTTTCATATATAGGTACATTAAACTGCAACACAAAGAAAACGTGTACACATTACTGTTGTTCATTCTCTTCTTCCAGTCAGTCAATTCTCTTTCTCACTATTAGATATCAGGGCTCGAATCAGGCTAGGCTACAAATTATCGGCCTGCACCAGGCTAAAGCAGATCAGATCTAGACTGAAATAGATTCAGGCAAACCTTTGAAAACACCAGGCCGCGTAGCCGGCCTAGTACGAAAAAGTTAAGACTGTCATTGGTTAAACTCTTGACTACTGAAAACAGAGTTATAGGACTTATTTATCTCCTTTATTTCCGAGTTAATTCTCTTATATTCACCAATAATAAATTTAAATTAAATTCTTGTTAAAATGGCTGATGCTAGTATTGAAATTTCTTCGAACCATTAATTTCTTCATCACCTTCATCTACATTTTCTACCGCGCGCTTAAAATCAAAACAACAATATTCGGTGTCCTCAATCAAGGATTTATTAAAACAAAACGGCGAGCCGAAGCAATATATAGTGATTAAAAAATAAACAAAAGCACAGATCATCAGAAGCATGGGGTGTCTTTGGTTGGCCAGCGAAACTACACTCAGATGGTACGTACCAAAGCATCCATGATTTTGCTAGTTGCTTCTACTGCAAAGTTACCTACACATTTAAATCCGATGACAAAACATTTAAAACATCATATGTTATCATGTGCGACACGAACTTCAGAAGGGAAAGAAGTTGGGTCATTACAAAAATTAATCAAATCAAAACGGCCAGTCCATTCATTAGCCGAAAAAACTGTAGCACAAATGAAAAACAAATTGACTCAATGGGTTTGCTTCTGTCCACAAGGTCCATTTTTGGTTGTAAAGGGTCTCGTAATAATATCACTACCCAAGCATTGTATGGTGAAAGTAACAACAACGATATTATAACGAAAGAAAAGGAAACGAAAGGTAAAAAGTTTCTTAAATCAAAAAATGTTCAGTTCGATATTTGATGAAGAACATTCGTCTGTCGCAGGTCGCATAATACTAAAAGCCAGTTCAGCTTTGACACCTGTGAACTACTAGAGCTTTGTTGAAATGACATTTGTCATAATCCTGAAGCATCATAGACCGACTTTTTTGTCAACCAAATCGTACTGTTTGACGAAAACACGAACAGTGAATCTGGTTTTGCAGCTTGCTGCAAAGCTAAGTTCGTTTATTCGAATTTCTATTTGTGCAAAATCGATTTTGTGTTTGTCGATAGTTTTACAGTTCATACAGAGATGCAACCGGTCAACAAAATCGTGACCGGTACCGGCCAGTCATCGGTGATCAGCGACTGGGCCGGCCGGTTGACCGACCATTTTTCTAAAAATTTTGACCGGTAAGCGACTAGTAATTACTCACATTTACGCCGAAGGGCAAAAACAAAAGCTTTTTCCGATTTTACTGAAACGATAGCCTAGTTTCAGAATATGTATAATTTGTTGCAGAACACTTTGCACGTGCCAGAAAAAATCTTATTCTTCGGTCCACACTCCGTTTTTATCCTGTTTTTCATGCTATGTTTTTCGGATTGAATATGAAAACCAAGCCGATGATTTTTATGCCATCTAATAGACCATTAATCGTAGTATATTTGTCACTATTTAAATCTAAAAATATCTCTTTCCCATCTAATGTATACATGGTTGCCCAGTGTATGTGAAGGGCTCAGAATTGGCGCAGTATCCCGAAAATGGTACTGCACGTCTTATTGATTTTTGAAAACACTGACTTTTGATAAAGAAAAGAATTGGAATAGAAGAAAAGCATCAGACAGCGTACACCATAGCCAATGTAGGTTATAATCAATGCAAACAAATAAGTCCGCAACGAAAATTTACTATTAACAGTAGATTGAGCCAAGATCAGGAAAACCGTTTTTTCCAGTAAATATAACTAAGGATGTTAGTAAGACGGCTACAGAGACTAAACAATGAAATCTAAATGTTTGATATGTTTTTAGGAAACAACAGTAAAAACTCAGTTCTGTTCGGGAAGGTTGATAATACTGTATTCATTTTGTTTCTCTTCCTAATTATTATTACTTTGACGGCGGACGATGTTAAATTTATTTCATTTTTTTGTTTACGACCGAGAAGAACCGATTCTTGGTTCTTAGTGGCCTTATGGAGTCTTTCGTAATAAATTCACAAGATTTTAACCTGAACTTTGTGATGGATAAGAGATGCGCTTTGGCTGCAGAACTGACATCTCTGCTTTTCTACTCATTGACGGATAGGTAGATCGGTTGTATCTATTCGCAAAGCTCTTTAAGTGCTTTGCGAATAGATATTATTCTATTCTGTACATCGAAATGTATCCTATTTCTTTCATTCAGCAAAACCAGAGAAAGAAAAAGAAAAGAGAATGATATTGATCTATATCTACGCGTAGACTTATTTTTGACGGCTGCCCTTAGTGATGCTGTCGAACCAGTTTACAAAGAATTTGACTAAAACAAACACCGATAGCAGCGAGTGATCAACAAAATTTTGCATACGGAACGACCAGTATAGTCGAAGGACTTTTCACTAATGAACGATAAGATAATGATTCTTTGAAGTTCATATTTCAACACGTCTCAAAATTACCAAACATAAATGAATATAATTTTGTATTCTCAATGCAAGCAATGAAACTAATATAATTATTCAAGCATAATCTATCCGACATAAACAGAAAGCAAAATCATAAAGTTTGATGTTTGGATTTAAGATCGATCAGATGTAGGTGTTTATAAGATTTTGAGCACAAAACTATATAATATATCTGAGGTCTTTTGTTTACTTTAAAAGTGATTAGGAGAAACAGGCAGAATGAATGAACAACAATCTTTGCAAACCAAAATTGGAAAGAATTCGAAGATATTTCATTCCAAAGTGATAATTCCTTTCTGGATGAATACACTCTAAAAAATGTATTTAAGATCCTCGGAATGCCGTCGATTTAGCCAAAAACGTTTCGTTTTCGAGATAAATCGTTTTTAATGCTCTTCTTCGAAAGTGTCAGTGTTTTTCTGCTAAAACAACAGCAAACTGATCAAATTTTACAACAATTATTCAGTATTGTACTCCAGTTGATATATTAGTATTGAAACTACATTTGTTAGGTGTATGAATACTTTTGTTGTTATTCTCTCTCCACGCAAGAAAGAAGCAAGAAACGATGTTTCATTTTTCATTATTGGTGTCGTATTTGCAAGAGTGAACTTGTCGAACAGAAAGAAATCATTCTGAAGGTTAGACAAGCAACGTCCTTGGCATTCGAAGAACAAACACTTCTATAAATATCAACTCTTTCAGAGAATTGCGCACAAAAAGTACTCAGTAGTGTTGAGTAAATGTTGATGTTGATCGAACAATAAAATGTAATTGAGGTGTTCACCAGCTTTTCTCTTTTTTGAAAAAAATCAGATTTATAGGCAAACAGAGAGAGAAAAAAAACTACTTGTTATTCTTTCGGCGCAAGAAAGCAGTCAGTTACTTTTGCTTTTTCTTTGACGACGAACACGTACTTATGCAAAGTGAACCGACAAAGGTGGGTGTTCGAAGGGAGAAACGATATTTTATTTTTCATTATTGGAGTCATATTTTGCACTCCTCAATACTTTTAGTCGTCCGATCTACATTTGTTTGTTACGTCAAAAATCATTGTTGTACGGGCAGATTCATTTAGAAATTATTCCCTGTAGAAGAGCTGAATGTGCTGAGAAAAGAGAGAAGTGTGTTCATAATTGAGTAATTAAGGATTGTCCGTTGTTCTATTGCACAAGATCTCATTTATCAGTTTCAAATGCGTCGCGAAAGGTGATTGCTATGCTTTCTCAAGGCACATAAATAAAACTGTTTCTCGTCAACAAACAAAAGTATAGTCAACATCGTTCGGATGAGACCATGAGAAATATGTTCTATCCACCATTAGGTGAATTTTCCAGTTCCATCTTTAACCTTATATGGAGCTACAGTACTAAACTTCTTTTGAATATTTCGTCGTACGAAGCGAGATACTTTTTTGGGCAAAAAGCATTCTCTTCTATATTAGTGACACTAACATTAGAATCCTGCAGTCCTATGCTACCCTACTCTAAGGTAAGGTTAGGGTACGGATCTTGCAGGGTGTCACTTCCTTTTTTTTCGATCCACCCTAATCTAAACGCCAACACTTAAAGAATTCAACAATGGCAATCCATATTCACGGATTATATTCACATGAATGGAAAAGAGCAGATACCACTTTCTTAGAGATTATACACCTCTCACTATTTCGTGTCAGAGCTAAGAGTTGTCTTCTTTATTTGCTCCTTCCGTTCCCAGTGCTTCGTCTTTCTTTTCTTTTTCTCTTTTAATCTAAACTTTTTTATTTTCCAACAAATCGAGCTAGCTCATTACATGTTGGTTGAAGTTGAACAAATGTAAGAATAATAACAACAGAAAGAAGAACAACAAGTAAAAAAAGAAGGAAACAAGCAAAGTGATTTAAAGTTAAAAAAGAATTTATCATATCAAGGGAACGTTTTTCTTTTGTTTCAGGAATCTGCTAGGAGTACAGTTCTATTTTGGTGAGAAAAGAAGGGTCGCACCTCATTGGGTCCGGCGAAAACGTTATGCATCCTTTAAAAATTTTAAAACAGAAAAGTATAGGATTTTAATTTTATCTTTTACGAGGGAGCATGTCGCTGTTTTTAAAAAGTAAATGATCTACTGTTATATCGGTTATTTGTAGTATAGATTGAAACGTCTTTAACAGTTCTGAACGTTGTGCTATATACTTTGCGCAAAAAAGGAAAAAGTGAGATGATGATTCGCTTTTATATCCACACTCACACCCGGGGACAGCCACTAAATGCCTTTTAGCCAAGTTCTCATTCAGCTGTGTGAAACCCAATCGAAAACGTGAAAAGTCTATTTCCAAAATTCTGTCGGTCACAGGTGGAAGATTCAATGTCTGTAAAAAAGATTGTTTCATTTTAAATTTAAATGTTACTGAGTTTTTCGAATTTTTTACATCGATTGGTAAGCTGTTTCATAGTTGAATGGTAGATGGTATTAAACTATTCCTAAGTACAAGCAGACCACCATGATGAGACGGTAGCAGTCCTCATGCCTGGCTGCACAATGGATAACTTACAGGTGTCTGTTGCGGTAGTAAATCTCTAAGGGATACTTGTCCTTTTATTATTTCGTAAAAAAGACATAATCGATAAACATCGAACATGTCATATCTTACAATATTTGAATTCTCATCTTTTTTCAGGTAAGATGAGCCCACCCTAGTTCAGAGCAAACGTTTTCCTATGAAGTACCATTCATCGCTCCTAAGATCGGACGCCCAACCTCATATTGTAAGGTGTTAAGTTTTTCAAGTTTAATTCGCTTGTGCCCGAATAAATGACACTTGCACAGTTGATTCTTCCAAGAGCAAAGGCATTATAAGCTAAAGAGAGTGACTTACGTGACAACGATCTACTTAGAAATTTGATTGATTCTACTAACTTTCCTGCTAAACTAACTAAATTATCAATATGGAGACCCCAATCTAACTTTTGAGTAAAAATGAGACCTAAATTTTGTTGTTGTTGAACGTAGTCTAACAAAATTTTGTTTATTTTCAAAGATGGTGCGAGAAAAGAGCATACCTACACATTTTTTTATGTTTAGCGGAAGTTTCCAATCTGCTGACCATTTATATACTTTTTCCAAATCCTTATTCATTTTCGTAACAGCTCTATCTAAATCTTTGTGCTTCACGTGAATGGAACAGTCATCCGCAAAAAGAAAACAAGTGTTATCTAAAATACCTGGCAGGTCATTAATATAAACTAGAAAAAGGAGAGGTCCCAAAATCGAGCCTTGAGGGACTGAACTTAACAAAAAACGTTCTGACGAAGTACTTCCATCGAT